GAAAGACAGCATGGCAAAAAAATAATGATTTGGCAGTAAAAATTTAAAAATTTCTCTTTTTTCCTCCATTCTCTTTCTCCTTCTTGTTCCTTTCCTTGCCTTCTTCATCCATCTTCATCTTCATCTTCATCAATCAATTCTTCATCAAACAACAAAATCCACAAAAACATAGAAATAATTTTTTTTTTTTTGTCGAAGAACGCAGGGGTGCTGGGTTCAAAGGAACCCAGCACCTGGGTTCAAAGGAACCCAGCACCTGGGTTCAAAGGAACCCAGCACCTGGGTTCAATCGAACCCTTCCTCTTCCTTGCCTTGCCTTGCCTTCTCCATCAATCAATTCTTCTCATCATCAAACAAAAAAAAAAAAAAAAAAACAAAACAAAAACAATTTTTTTTTTTTAGTTTTTGCCCCTGGGTTCGAACCTAGCGCCGAGTTCGAAAGAACCCAAGGATGGGTTCAAAGGAACCCAGCACCAAGTTTATAAGAACCCAGGCGTTGGGCTCCTTTGTACCTAGTGTTGGGTTCGAAGGAACCCAGCGCCGGGTTCGTAAGAACCCAAGCCTGGGTTCCAAGGAATCTAACGCCGAGTTTGTAGAACCCAGGCCTAGGTTCCTTCAAACCTAGTGCCAAGTTCGAAGGAACTAGGTGTTGGGCTCTTTCAAACTCAGCGTCGGGTTCAAAGGAACCCAAGAACCTAGGACCCCAAGGGAAAGAGAAAGGGAAGGAGAATGGGAAAAAAAAAGGAGCTTTTTTAGGTTTTTTTGGTCATATTAATATTTTTTACCATATTAATATTTTTTTCCATGTCACTATTTGTTTGCCATGCTGTCTTCCACGTATTTTGACATGTCATAGTGTCACTGTGAATTATAGGACACGTCATGTCATTTTTAACGGTAGGGATCAAATCAGGTTAAAATGGTAAACAGTAGCGACCAAATTAGAAATTTTTTGAGTTGAGAGACTCAATTAGTGGTCCGTATAATAATTGAGGGACCAAAAAAAAGGTTTAACCCAAGGTAAAAGAAGATTACTGTTAGATGATTGTTGGCAAGAATGTAATAAATTCTCCATCAATGGTTTCATTGATTTTAGAGTTTTAATTCATACTACTGTGACCCAAAATAACTATTTTTAATTTTTTAATTAAAATTTTAAAAATATTTTATATATTTATTTATATTACTTTTAAGGAAAAGTTAAAAGATAAAGAAATACTTTTTGTGATAGGATAACTAATTGAAATAAATAGATAATAGAGAATTGAAATAAATAGATAATAGAGAATTGAAAT